AGAGCACAGACAGGGATGAAGCCTCCGAGAGGCCTCAGCCGGGAGGTGAACCACGCAGAGGCCACACCTCACCTCCGCCTCCACCACGGCGCCCGCCTGCCCGAGCCCCCTGGAAACGGCGCCCACCTGCTTGGAGTAGTAGCTGTCCAGGTTCACTTGGATTCCCGGGTGGGGGATCTTCTGATAGACAATGATGCTTTCCATGGGAATCCCTGGACACGATCAAAACCAGGAAACAGAGCTATTGCCCTGGGAAGGGCCATGAGTCAGGAGCCCACGGGCATCCCAGCTTGGCCTCCCAGGCCACGTGCTCCTGATGAGCCACTGCCCCCCAGGGGCCCCAGGGACCCACTGTAGACGGATGGACTAGGCTCTGAGGGGTCTCACGTTCCCCTGTTCCATTCGGGGACTCAACATCCCCCAGGTCTGCAGGGAGGAGGCCCAGAAGTGACAGCTTAAGTGTCACAGTCCCCAGGCAGGGCGGGCGGCCACTGGGCATCAGGCTCAGAAATGAATAGGACAGAACACCTCTCAGGAGGAGCCAAGAGTCTCAGCACCAGCAGCAACGCTCACCCTTTCCCCCCAAACCCAAGGAAGAAGCGGGCGTGTCAGGCCGCTGGTTTATACGTGGCCTCTAGAGCACCCGGGGCCACGCTGTTTCTCCTGTTCTCGTTCCAAAGGCCACCGCCCTTGCTGGTCCTGTTGCCTCGAGCCCTGCCATGGCCCCGGGCCGTGTTCAGAGACAGCCGCTAACACTGAGAGCTGGTCTCGCCCGTGGATCCGGAAGGTGAACGCTACAGGCCTGCGATCACCCCGGGGACTGCGTTCTGTGTGGACAGCTGCCCGGCTAGGACGATGGGGGTGACGTTATCATTATAGGCCTCAGCTGCTTCGGAGGCCAGGGTCGTGCTACTCACAGAAGCTCAGGCAGCTCTGAGGCGGGCTCTGTTCCACCCATTTCACAGACCAGAGCCGGATGCAGAGGCTGTGCCCTCCTGGCTCACACCTGATGCAGTCCGTTCGGTCTCACCCTGAAGGTCACACTCCACACCGTGGTGACGCCCCCCTGGCCCAGACCCGCTGTGACAGGAGAAGGTGTGCAGGTCACATCTGCCAACACCACGGGCAGATTCCTATCTGCGTTAGAGGCTCCAGGGCACGGCTGGTTCCCGGTCAGTGAGCCCGGAGCCAGGACGGAGGGGAGCGAGCCTGGAGGTGATCCAAGCTGCCGCCCTCGTGGATCATCCTGGACGTCCTCTCCGTGCGGACCCTGCCCAGGTCACCTCCACCTCCTCCTGTGACACTCAGTGACCGCATGCGCCTCACGCCCCGCCGGGCCCTGTCCCTGCAGTCTCTGTAGCCCTGACCACGGCCACCCCGGAAGGCTCTCGCGGACCCCGAGAGGCAAGGAGAAGGGCACGCTGATACCTTTGTCCTTGAGCATCTGCGGCAGCACTTCTCCCTTGAGGGCTCCACAGGGAAACAGCAGAGGCAGTGCAGGCGGCTCCCCTGTGGACACACCCGCCTCAGCCCAGCCCGAGCCCCAACCCCGAATGTTCTGTGCTGAGTTCGCATTGTCTCTAGTCCCTGGTGTCGGGCAGCGGAGTGGGCTGGGTCTCTAGCGCAGACAAGGGCCCGGGGGTGGCTTACACTGCGGAGAAGGCCCCAAGGCCCCCCACCCCCCCCCCGCGGGGGGCGGTTCTGAGACCCTCATCTGGGGGCCTCTCCTACTCACGGGAACAGATACATTCCGCGAGCTTCTCGGCGTTCCCACTGCTTTCCCCTTCGGCTTCCAGGCCAAGTTTCTTCACTGGAAAACAGCAAACACATGTCTCCCATGGCTGCCAGGGTCCCGCTGCTCCTGGGCTGTCGTTAATGAGCAAACACAAAGGTGTGCGCTCCACACAGAGTCCCCGAGGCCGGCCTGGCGGAGGGGGCCGGGCTGCTCTGATGGAGGTGCCGGTCCTGGCCCAGGCTTCCTGGGCGTGTGGCTCTGGGTGACGCTCCAACTTCTCTGAGCCCCACTGAGCGTGTCCGTGGGGGGAGACACAACAGGTGGGGCTGCTTTACGGCTGCAGGCGATGAAAGCAGCTGCCGGCCCTCTCCCCTCTCCCCTCTCGGTGAGCTCCAGAGGGAGGTGGTCTTGGGTCAGGTGGGAGCCTTTAGGACAGTGATGGCGAACCTTTTGAGCTCAGCGTGTCAGCATTTTGAAAACCCTAACTTAACTCTGG